ACATCCTCTGAACAACACGGACAATTAAGTGGACGCTTTCCATGGCTAGTCATCCAACCCTTAGTAAATGCAAATGGTTTTTGGAATGCACCCCCAATCTTCCTGCCCACCCACGAGCATCATCTATGATGCGCTCTTCCGCAAGGAGTTGGGACCACTTTTTTCTCCACCGTTTTGTTATCAATGCAGCCTTTGATTTGAGCCCTATTGGGGTCTGGAAATAAGGATGCTGGGGCGTCCGGGGCGGTAGTCTTCTGGCAGATTCCCGGGAACCCCCAGAGGGGGGGACAATTTTTCCACTAATATGTCCATTCTGGATTTTCAACTAACATGTCTCTAGTATAGGGCATTTATCATAGCCTATGTTCACAGCAGCTAACGTATCCAAAAAAAACACCAAAAAAAAGTGGATACGTGTCTCGGGCTACCGTTTCAGGTATCAACTAACATGTCCACTCTGTACCGGCGTTTTCCTGGATTTCCTGGGGAATGCATTGCAACTTTTTTGGGGACCATTGACCCAAAAAACAGCTAACATGTCTCAGTTCCTGCAATTGGGGCCCTTGGATTTCGACCCTGATCTGGGATATGTTCGCTATTTTGGGGGGATAGATTCAGCCAATAACCACTCACATATTTCAAAACCACATCCTCTGAACAACACGGACACGTTAGGTGGACGCTTTCCATGGCCAGTCATCCAACCCTTAGTAAATGCAACTGGTTTTTGGAATGCACCCCCAATCTTCCTGCCCACCCACGGGCATCATCTATGATGCGCTCTTCCGGAAGGAGTTGGGACCCCTTTTTTCTCCACCGTTTTGTTACCAATGCGGTCTTTGATTTGAGCCCTATTGGGGTCTGGAAATAAAGATGCTGGGGCGTCCGGGGCGGTAGTCTTCTGGCAGTTTCCCGGGAACCCCCAGAGGGGGGAACAACTTTTCCACTAACATGTCCATTCTGGATTTCAACTAACATGTCTCTAGTATAGGGCATTTATCATAGCCTATGTTCACAGCAGCTAACGTATCCAAAAAAACTTTTTTTCCACAAAAAAGTGGATACGTGTCTCGGGCTACCGTTTCAGGTATCAACTAACATGTCCACTCTGTACCGGCGTTTTCTTGGATTTCCTGGGGAATGCATTGCACCTTTTTTTGGGACCATTGACCCAAAAACAGCTAACATGTCTCAGTTCCTGCAATTGGGGCCCTTGGATTTCGAACCTGATCTGGGATATGTTCGCTATTTTGGGGGGATAGATTCAGCCAATAACCACTCACATATCTCAAAACCACATCCTCTGAACAACACGGACACGTTAGGTGGACGCTTTCCATGGCCAGTCATCCAACCCTTAGTAAATGCAACTGGTTTTTGGAATGCACCCCCAATCTTCCTGCCCACCCACGGGCATCATCTATGATGCGCTCTTCCGGAAGGAGTTGGGACCCCTTTTTTCTCCACCGTTTTGTTATCAATGCGGTCTTTGATTTGAGCCCTATTGGGGTCTGGAAATAAAGATGCTGAGGCGTCCGGGGCGGTAGTCTTCTGGCAGTTTCCCGGGAACCCCCAGAGGGGGGGACAACTTTTCCACTAACATGTCCATTCTGGATTTTCAACTAACATGTCTCAAGTATAGGGCATTTATCATAGCCTATGTTCACAGCAGCTAACGTATCCAAAAAAAAATATTTTCCACAAAAAAAGTGGATACGTTTGTTCCCTAGGGAGTAGGATTTTCGCCCGCTGCTTCGGCTTGGCACTAAGATGACGCGCGGCTCTGTTAATTTATTTTTTCCCCTACAGGGCTGCTTCAGCCGGAGCAACGACCAGTATAACCGGAAGAAAAGGAAGGGTGTGCTGGGGATGTCCCCAAACGGGTGTAAAAATTGTCACCACAATGGGTATACCGTAACTCTGCATAGTAAATTGACTTTACAAGTTTTTGATATATTTAACGCATGGATGAAATTGGAAAATGTTTCTGTATGTTTTTTTGAACAAAATGAAGCTTGCAAAAAGCACATCGAAGTGCATCCAAAGTGCATCAAAATCATAATCGCATGGACCAACGTTAGGTTAACTAACTTCCCTAATGTCCTAATGAAATTCAAACATCATAAATAGAGTGCGTTCACTTATGCAAAAAAATCGGCGACAGCATTTGCCAACTTAACTTGGGAGGGTGGTCGGTACACTTTGGGTCACGGGTAGTGTGTAAGAAGAGGGCGGCCTGACCTCTCCTTACGCAACTTGGGCGCGTCCCCGAACTGTGTAAGGAGCTGTCAAAGAGAGGGCGAAACAAAAATTCCGCTACGCGGGTTGGTTTTTTGACCATCTGCCCTCTTTTTGCCGCTCCTTAGGCAGGTTGGGCGCGTCCCCGAACTGTGTAAGGAGAGGGCGAACTGACCTCTCCTTACACAGGGTCCCGGACACTTAGTGGTTTGCAGCGGTACTGCCCGCCTGAGCCCGCGAGATTCATACATTTATTATTTTCCCACCACCCAAAAAAAAAAAACAATTTTCGGATCCACTACCCGTGAACTTACGTAGTTTAATCTTGATCAAATTTTAAATTTACGTAGTTTTTCTAATCTTGATCAAAGTCACTGAATTTGAGACATGCAGTTGTTATGTCTGGATGAACTAGACTGCACTCTTGATGCTCTTCTGCTATTATCAATTTTCTCAAAATGAATGATTATCCCCCGAAGAAAGCACAAACTGTCGTAAAGCCATCCCGATTAATTAGTATCAATATAGCTCAGTGCGTTGATTGTCCGAAACCATTTCCAGTTCAAACATCGCGTCTGACTCCCGGCTGTTTCGGCCGGTGTGTCCAGCTGTTTCGACTGGGAAGCTGCTGGCTGTTTCGGCCAAGTATGGTACTGGTTCTGGATTGTGATGGCGTCCTGTCAGACAGACAGACAAAACATCCACCCAACTTCAATCTCCACCAAACCGCTGTGGATGGAGTTTACCCTTTCGTTCATTGCTTCATACACAAATATGGCGAAAAGGAGCTGGTGATACTGAGCCGGGTAAACAACTGAGGCGATGAAGGAAAACAGGGGAACCGCGGAAACAATGAAGCAGAGCCATTTTGTTACCACAGCGCACCAGAAGTTTTTTTGGAAGAGATTCCCCATGGATACTACGTGAAGAGCGTCGTGGACATGACGCCCGCCGATGGGAAGCTGGCGTTCGTGTGCTTGAGACAACGACTTGGCTATTGCGGAATTTGCTACAACGACACCCACGCAAAAACCCTTGAAAAAAGGATGCTGCAGGGACTTCAGAAAGAGATGGTGGACCCCAGCAGCCCACTCTTTTCTTCTGCCTACTCCACCGCCCTTGGAAATGGCACGGCCGAGACTGTCACAGTGCCTAACCCAAAACCAAGTCCAAAGCCCAGGCGCTGCCAGTAAGCCCAAGTCCAAGCCAAAGGCAAAACAGAAATCCAAGGCCAAAGCAAAGAGCGGAAACAAGCGGCCTCGCGAAGACAACGGTGCAGAGGACCAGGATCAAGAAGAAGGTGTCGGAGCAAGGGGAAGAAAACGAAGAAGAAAATGTTTGGGACGTGTTGGAGGACTGAGTCAGCCGTATTTTGGCTGCAAAGCATCTGTTTCGGCTGTAAAGCAGCTGTTTCGGCTGTGTAGTATTATAGGTTGCGTCTTAGTCTTTAGGAAGATGTCGGCCTTGGCTGCTTCGGCCCAAGTTTTGTTGAGTACATCTTGACGCGCGGCAGGGGAAAATAAGAATGGGTGGGATGGGGGTCTGACCGGCAAGTTCAGCTTAGTTTTCAAAGAACTGTTTTTCCAATGTCATCGAACTTGATCAGGTGGAATCTTGGCCGTCATCTGCAGATCGCATGGGTTGCACGGTCAGCACACTAGCAATTTAGGATCCAGGTTTTAAAAGAGAAACATGCATGGATATTTTAATTCCTCGTTTATCATGGCATGAAGATATTTTTTCTAAGACCCGTAGAAAAGCCATGTGCACCACAAAAAAAAAAACAAAATTCCTCTAAGCGAGGCTAAGTACTGCTACTGCTACTGCTACTGCTACTACTACACTAGACTACACTACATCATGCTACACTAGAGTACGCAGTACACTAGACTACAGCACACTACACTACATTACACTACACTACTTTACAGCTACAACTACACTAATTACGCTACACTACAAGTACAACCCCACTACACTACAACTACAACTACAACTACAACTGCACTACACCACACTACATCCAGCAGTTGTGGGTGCGGTGACCACTGCAACCATTGCAACCACTCCAAAAAACACAACTCCAACCACCTTTCGGTACATCAGTGGATTCGCTCTGCCATCCGCGATTCACAACAACTCACCTCTCCTATAGGTTTCCTATTTTTAAAACTTCCGCCACCACATTATGCGGTACTACTGGTATGAACATACAGGGTTCGACCAATGATCAATGCCAATCGTAAAGAAAGGGGTGCCCAGTTCTTGGAGTCGGCAGACATGGCAGACATGTCATTGCTTTCCCAAGACTTCAGAGTACTTCAGTGCTTCATCTGTTTTTTTAATTGCTTGTCATTCATGTCATTGCTTTTCAAGACCGAGCTAGACCAGTTTCCAAATTTTGTCAAATGTTTCCGACGTCAGCTGAGCAACGAGTAGAGCTAGGACAGCTAGGGCAAAACTTATCAGTCTGTCTCATGCTGTCTATTCTAACTATCGGTGACATCAGCTGTCTTGTTTTTTCTGTTTGTGTAAGAGATTCAGAAATTCAACAAAATCAGCATGCTATTCAGATCTATTCAGCATGTGTTGGAAGACATAGATTCCATTTAATTCAGGGTTGATGGCACTACTTCAACACCTAAACAATCCTAAACAATTTACACCAATACACTCCGCCACAATGTGCCTAGATTGGTGTTTAAAGTTCCTAGAATCACTCTAGAATCTAGATTCCCTATGATTCCCTGCTATAGGTAGAACTACCCTTTGGATCCCTTTAGTGTCCTGTCTTCTCTGCCAGGAATAATGTCTAAGTCTATCAAGTCGTGCTGGATGGCAAAGTCCAGAATGCGGTGCCTGTTCACAAAACAGGGACAAAGGCTTCTACGTCACAACTACCCAGCTTCCAGAATTCATTCAAGACCTGCAAACAAACTCACGCTAACTTGGGCATTGGCGTGGCTATAAACCTCTGCGTGGCTGGCTGTACGCATCTAAAAAGGATCAGGTTGAAAGTCGTCCTGAAAGTTAAGTTGGGCGTGCCGTGGTGCTTCAACGAAAGCATCTTGGAGACCTATATTGGAACGCCGCTGTGATTGTCAGGTGTCTCAAAAGCCTACTCATTGTATCTCATTGTCAAATGCTGCACCTCCTCAAGAAGAATTTTAGTTTGAATACCTCCATCTATACGTTAATACAGCTTGAGTATTGTACAAGAACGCACTGTATAAGAATTTGAGGGGCTCGGTTCCAAGATGGGCTATATATTTTCAGCTATACCAAACACATAGCACGTTAAGAATTTGAGGGACCCTGGAATCGGACTGCCAAATTCTTAAATTACTGCTTATACGTGACCCCTTGTACTGGAGACTTCGAAATTAGGCGGGATCCGTAATCCTCCTAGTCCTGGTTCTTTTCACTAATCCAATGCGTCATCCGGTGCTCGAGTGTATACCCGCACGAGCAGCAAACCACCCACCAAAGCAACCAGCAACCCAGGAACCAGCAGAGAGCCAAGCAGCCAGCAGAGCACCCAGCAGCGCCCCAGGAGAAGCCCAGCACCAACAGCCGCAGCAGGAGGAGCAGACTACCAGCACCCTCAACTCGCCTCCTTTTACGCGGGCGTCTGCGCGGCGGCCCCGCGGCAAGCAACCAAGGCCACAAACCAGCGTAGCCGGAACAACTATGCAGGATTCCGGTCACGACAGAGCGCAGCGCTTCCTTCAAGCAAAAAACGCCAAGCCCAAGCCTGTGAAGGGCGCGCCCGGGGGAGAATCGAGCCTTGGCGCGGCTGCGGCGCCTGGGGACTGAACTTCAGTCCGGCGGATAAATCGCCGAGGCGCCGCCGCCGGGATTGCCCGGCGGTCCCGAGCCTTTAGGGCCTCTCCAGTGGGCGCTGGGACTGCTCTGCCCAGCGAAACCGAACTCAAAAAGCAAAAACGCGCGTAGATCGTCGATCTACGCGCGTTTTTGCGCTTTCCCGGGCGTGACGGGTGTCATCTTGGCGGCCCCGCGGCAAGCAGCCAAGGCCAAAAACCAGCCGTAGCCGGAACAACTATGCAGGATTCCGGCCACGACAGAGCCCAGCGCGGACAAAACACCGGTATAACGCAAAATCGCGCGTAGATCGTCGATCTACGCGCGTTTTTGCGTTTTCCTGGCGCCGCGGCCCCGTGGCAAGCAACCAAGGCCAAAAACCAGCGTAGCCGGAACAGCTACGCAGGATTCCGGCCACGACAGAGCCCAGCGCGGCCAAAACCCTGGTATAACGCAAAACGCGCGTAGATCGTCGATCCATGGTCACCGACAGAATTATGGAAAAAAAAACGTTCAACTTAGACAGGCGGCGCCTGCGTCCGATTTTTCCATAATTAGGTTTTTCCCCATAAGGGTTCAAAATATCCCGGAAGTGATCCGAACCTTTTTTTCCATAATTCTTGGAGGTGGCCATTATTTCCATAATTGATTTTTCCTGTAAAATCAGGGGGCTAGAGCAGATTGACCGGTTTTTCCATAATTATTTTTTTCCATAATTATTTTTTCCATAATTATGTTTTCCATAATTAATGTTTGGGGCTCCACCTGTTGGACACGTCATGGATCCACAATTCAAACCCCTTTTTTTGGGGGTTATGGAGATCTTTAGACACATATTTTCAATATTCCCCCTTAAAATGCATTCAAATTGCGAACATCACATGATATTATGTATATCAATGGCAGGCTTTAGGGGCATATACCAGATCTTTAGACACATATTTTCTATAATTCAATATTCCCCCTTAAAATGCATTCAAATTGCGAACATCACATATCATCACATGATATTATGTATATCAATGGAAGACTTAGGGGCATATACCAGATCTTTAGACACATATTTTCTATAATTCAATATTCCCCCTTAAAATGCATTCAAATTGCGAACATGACATGATATTATGTATATCAATGGAAGACTTAGGGGCATATACCAGATCTTTAGACACATATTTTCTATAATTCAATATTCCCCCTTAAAATGCATTCAAATTGCGAATCGATGGACATACAGTCACCGACAGAATTATGGAAAAAAATAATTATGGAAACAATAATTATGGAAAAAAAAAGGTTCGTAACTTTTCTATCATAGACAGGCGGCGCCTGTAAATCGAAACGTTTTTTTTTCCATAATTCTGTCGGTGACTGTACGCGCGTTTTTGCGTTTTCCTGGCGCCGCGGCCCCGCGGCAAGCAACTAAGGCCAAAAAACAGCGTAGCTGGAACAGCCACGCAGGATTCAAACCCTGGTATAACGCAAAATCGCGCGTAGATCGTCGATCTACGCGCGTTTTTGCGTTTTCCTGGCGCCGCGGCCCCGCTGCAAGCAACCAAGGCCAAAAACCAGCGTAGCCGGAACAGCTACGCAGGATTCCGGCCACGACAGAGCCCAGCGCGGCCAAAACCCTGGTATAACTCTTGCATGAGTATTCAAATCTGCCAATTGCTCCAAATTGTGCAGATGCCTGCAATACAATACTAAGAATGTCTTAAGAAATTGAGGGACCCTCGGTCTGTTGTAGTGCAAATTTGCCTGTATTTAAAAATAAGAATTTGAGGGACTCTGGACCTCAAGCTTCGGATTCTTCACCAGAGCTCGGGCTGTATTACGTGAATTTTACGTTAGATACCTTCATGGTCCTGTATATTTGCCACAAATTGTATACAATAATCATATATACTAATATAATCTAATATATATTATATATTAAATTATATATTGTATTATATATATTTAAAATTAATTATTTAAGTATAAACTTACATAAAAGTCTGCACATTCATTCTGGCCAGGATGAATTTGTACATCAATGTACTCTGACCCACTCTGACCCACTCTGACCAAGGTGCCAATCGTCATTCTTCGTTCGAGGATAGCTTTTCCTGCCAAGAACTACTACGTACATCTCAGTACTCTGGAAAGCTGAAAAGACAATGAAAAAACTAAGTAGATCAGAGTATATCGCAGGACTAAGTGGCTTCAGGAAGGAATCAATTCGCGTGAAACCTGATGAGGGGAATGCCAGGCAAACCTGGCAAACCTGCAAACTTTTCTGTGTCGCTAGGACCTCCGCCCTCTGGCAGGTTGCAGCTTCCGGTGGTGGGTTGCAAAGCGACTAGGTCCTGATCGCCGTCACAAGCGCACTGCGACCATGCCGGTTGCCATTATGCGCCAAGTATTGAAGCAAGTGCCTCAAGATTGCGATTTCTCTAGGCACCGAATCAACACTTGGGAAAGTCCAGCTGAGGATTGACGTCTGCCCCCACCTGCAGTACCGTGCTTTTTGGCAAACCTCGCATGAACTTCCTGTACTAATGTCGCATGCTTCCACGCGGGCCGTCTTTCGAACACTGGCCAAAGGCCAATGCAAATCCTATGTGCACAGCGTTGCAAGCTGGAGGGGATAGTCCTTCAAACACAAGGGTTGGAGCAGTGCATCTACTGTACAAGAATTGTACGAGGATGTATGAGATAATATGAGATAGCCAATCTCCGGCACCATATGTTTCGTTCTTTTTTGGACAACATCTTCCAGCAAGCAACTTCAGAGATGTTGGGCCTTGCTAACAGCTCAGAATTCAATCTCCATTGTAAAGTCGTAGTTGATGGTGGGCACCACACTTGATATGAACTTCAAGAAAACAAACAGTGCCTTAGCCAGGAAGCAGTTTCTCAATAGAGTTTCTGATAACTTCCTACTAATCTGTGCGACCCTAAGCAACACTATGCAATCAAATAATGAAGCATAGCGGAGCATAGGACTTGTTGTCTTCTGCAAATGACCCTTTTCAAACCTCATCTGAATATCTCTGAGTGGTTGGAGCCAACTTGGAGCCAAGATGCAAGGTCATGTCTCGGAGTAAGCCCTTGCTCTATCCAGTCATCAATGACTTTCTTCATGACTTGCGCATGTTGACATGGATGGATGGAGACGGTTGGCGTCCCAGTCAATGGATGAGGATCTACAGTCACCGTCTTGGACTTGTAGTCGCTCAGCACATCTTCGTACACTTCCTCTGCTGAATTTCAGCGCTGTTTAGTTTCCAACATTCCAGCCCATGACGCTGTGTCTTGGTGATTTGACATTCCATTGAATACAGGTAGGGTATGGTAGGGTCATATCATTTTACTGTAAGTCAAACAATTGATGGACCTCCAAACAGAGTTGCATCATGTTGAACGATGTTGAACGATGTTGAACGATGTTGAACGATGTTGAACGATGTTGAACGATGTTGAACCAAGTTCCTCTGGCGTCAACGGGTCACCATTCTCATTATAGCCAAACAGCCAAAGTCTTGGCGTTCGATAATACTTGTCATAGGTAATGGACAAGTCCTCAGTGACACCAAAAGCACGCGAGCACGCAAAACATAGTGCCATGCTGAGCCATGCTGACATCCAAAGAATCCCAGAGATCGCAGTGCCCCCCCGTCACGTCCTGGATAAATCAGATTGCCAACACAAACAATGAACAACTTAGATACAACTTAGCAGCTTTCAAAAAAAATCAAGCTGATTGTCGGTTCCGTTGGGGAGTATGATGGAGTATGGGAGTGTTTTGATAGCACAATGAGGCACAATGAGGCACAATGAGGCACAATGAGGCACAATGAGGCACAATGCTTGATATGACTTGAATGTTGCACGAGCTTTGCGCAGCGTACCTTTTCCCCACACGAGTTCAATTGAACGCTTGTACAAACTGAAACTCTTCAATGTTTTTTTCTGGACTGGTGCTTGTGTGAGCAAACCAAAAAAACAAGACTGTCCTGACTCAAGATTCTGACTTTGTCTCACTATGCACATCATGCACATCTCAACAAACTCAGCAATTTAATAAATTTGAGTGAGACACATAAGTTCGAGTCTTCAGGATGTTTGCATCCGGCGCCTCTGCGACAATGACGCTGGGTGCCGTTGCAGCGGCCGGGTAGCCATCCTGCAAAATCCAACAACAACATACAACAACAGTACTGTACACATCTGTACACTGTATATACAGAACAGTTCATACATGTTCATACAGTAGATGTTCATCGATGGCACTTGGGTATTTGACTTGGTTGACGGCAGCATTGCAATCCTCCTGCTGCAGCTGTTTGTCCAGATCGCTGAAGTCAGGCAGATTTGAGGCTTTCGCCGCCCCGTCGCCCAAGAAGTCGTCATCAGCATCGAAATTCAAATTCAAGCCTGGACCCACTGGGTCTGCCTTGCCTGCTCCACAGTTCAAGCGAGATGTCATTTTATTCTGACTTATTTTAAAAGAAATGTACATTTATGAATTTCAATCATATAATATATGATATAATATGATATAGTAATATGATTAAAGTAGTTTAACTATGTTTAATTTACAATATAAGTCTACTAACTAGTGTCTACAGTGTCTACTCACTCAAGAGATGATTCTCAAGTTCAGAAACTTACGGCGATGGTGAACACCGGTCTTCAACAAGTGTGAGTCATCCCTCGCCTTCGCTTGGACCAGCCAAGTCATCTACATCCTTCAGATCGTTGCTGGCCGAGCCAGAAACTTCTGGGGGCAGCAACCAATCATCCTGGCACAATACCAGAACCACAGGCCCGAACCCAGTGGAAAAGATGTTGACCGCCCCAGAATATAACAGCATATAACAGCATGTCTTGGACAGATATCAACCCTAAAAATGAAACCTAGACTCTGAACACAACAAGCATGTGCAGGCCCCTTAAGAAATAAAGAACATGTTGAATAATTTCTCTGAATATCTCCGAATAAAACATCATAAATAATAAATCATTATGAATTATGAAATCAAAACCTAGAATCTAGATGAATCTAGAATAGGTATGAATATGTGAACTTGTCACTAAAAACATCAGTGTCAACATTCTGTTGAATATTTTAAAATATGCTGAGGATTGCTGAGGCATGATTCTAAGAAAATCATTATATATTATACAGTAGCAAAAGCAACAAGTCGATTCTCAACCAGCCTCCGACTTGATCTGGTCTAAAGCAGAATCAAGTGCCTCGGAAATGGTTACGGCCCTACAAAGCTCAAGGTTTCATTCACACAACTGCCACGAATTGATTTGAATCCCGCATTACAAGAAATCATTCTGAGACTTCTCACGAAAGTATGTGGAAAGCGACGAGAAAGAATCTGATAGTATGTTATACTACTTATTGGAATACTCACTATACTCTCAAAAGTGGTGAAGCAAAGAAACCAAATGTACGGGGTGAAGTGAAGCCTCAGAACAATGCCTAAGTGACTAAGCACAACAGGGTTTTCGACGGCTACCGGCTACCAGTCTTGCACCAAGGAGCTCTGACCCGGTCTTTGCAGGGTACATTCCTTGTGGATCAAGCACAGCCACGTACAGGCCCCAACTCTTCTTTCACCCCAGAACAAACAGAATAGAAGAGAAATGGCAAACAGGTTCCGCACAAAAGAAACAAACCTGCTTTGAAGCTGTTGACTGTTGGAGGACATGCTCCTACAGATCCGATTCTTCCACATGCATGTTTGATGCGGACAGGCCCTCCTTGTGATCAAGTACTGCCTTTCTTTCGGCAAATAGCTGGCCCTGAGGCCGGCATCGCCTTCTTCCCAGCGCCAAGTTGGGAATTTGAAGGTGAGCCTAGGACAAGAAGGCTTGCAGCAAAGCGTGCAGATGCTTGGCAAAGCAAGAAATGCATGCATTGTTGCCAACACATGGCAGCACCACAATTAATTAACATCAATTAACATTGATTATGTGCAATTAGGATCAATTAATTATATAGGTTCATGTCGTTCTAGCATGAATGCGTAGTGATGATTCACGATGGAGTGTGTTGTTTTGCACTGCAGTGCCGTGTCTGCAATGTAATTGCTCTTCTGCGAAGCATTTTTGCTGTTTGAAGGGAATGATGTGGTGAATCATGCTAAAGCATGTTCTGCAAATACCATATGTACAGTACATAATATGTACAATGTACAGGGTTTGATCGATAAGTGATGAACAAGGAGATGTGCTGTGTGTCTGTGCACGCGCGCGCACTCTGTCCAAGGATATTCGATGTGCATGATGTGCATTTGCACCAAGCACAAAGATTCCAAACTGTGCATCTGTCATATATGGTCTCAAAATGTCTCAAAGATAAAGTTGCGTTTCAGCTATGGCGCGCTACTGCTGCTGGTGGTGGATTGATGATCAATGTGTCATGGTATCATTTTGCATGCCTTGGTACCTGTGGTGACCACAGGCCTGTGGTGTGAATTGTGGGTGTCGCAAAGAGAGCAGGCACTGAAAGGCGTAACTATGGTAGGCTTATCGTAGACTATGATCCTAGACTTACTTACAGCAGTACAATTGGATATACATGGTATGTTGGCGTGTACCCATACATGCTGAAATGAACATGCTGACACGCCACATGCATTTCAGCGAGAGACAAATTCAGATCACTCGTGTTGCGCAAGTCAGACACTTTGAAGTACCGCTAACATCCCCCATCCCAACCCTACCCCCACTGCGCTCCACTGGGCCCCACTGGGCCCCACTGTGCCTGGCCCGACCGCATGTTTTATAGTTGTTCAAGTTCAAGCATTCATGTGCAAGTTCAAGTAGTTTGTCTCGTGACAATCCGGATAACAATTGTGTCATACAATGTCATACAGCAGGCGAACGGATTGAATTATAATATCTTGACACATCATTATATTCATTTATGGTATACTTTTGTCAATGTTGGGTAGAGCGTGGAGGGATACACGAAGTTTTTGCAAATTTTAGTGTTTAAAAAATTGAAGTCCAAGCGCTCAAACATATCGCAACATAATGTACGCATGTATTCACCAATTCATAGTTCATATGTCGCAATGAGATCGCACGCACACACACACACCACTCCATGCAATCAAACAGCCTGCATGGCGACGCAGTTGCGCTCCAATACAGGCGTGTAATAAAATTGCTTCTACATGCCTCTTCTATGTGGAATATATACACGAAACAGTAGCACTACCAGTCCCCTGGCATTTCCTGGCATGACAAATGATGCAGTGCACATCATCGTACCCTCTCCCATCTAGAATCTACAACCTATGGTACAGCCCACATGAAAGGACGGAAAACAAACGCAATGCTTACACAAAGGTTATGTATGTGTTCTTTACCTGTTGTCTGACAAGCAATCATTCCCCTTTGACAGGTAAAGAGGCTTGACGCAACGTGCCCTGATTGGTGCAAACTATGAAGTCATGTTCTAACATGTTCTGACATGTTCTAACTGTGAGCAAATATGACTTTATTGACTCTACTTGCATGTCATATAATTTCGTTACATCTCTGTGTACTTTGCCTGACTTCATCCGAGACACTGATCTCCTGCCGCCACAAACTCTTCCGGGGTCAAAGTTCCATTCTCGAGAAATTTGGACTCGCCGCCAGTAGTCGTAAAGGCATTCACCGTACTCCGGAATGCATCGCCCACGCGATGCTTTGCGATGGTAAGGCGCTCCATCTGCGCAAAGGGAAGAGCTGACGCTGATGACATGAAAGGATCGCCAAGGATCAGTCAAGTCATGTGAGCTCATGTGAAGTCACGTGAAGTCATGTCAAGTCATGTCAAGTCCTCATAGGTCCAGCAGTTCTCAATGCAGGGGTGCTACTTGACTGATCAACAACATAATAGGTGCGAAAGCTGCGTGTACATAATGAACAACACAAAGACTATGCAAAGGGCTCAGCCGCTGCTTGAAAGTGAACATAACACTGTCAAAAACCTTTCTAACTGAGATCTCTAATCTATGTCATGCCAGTCCACTATTTTCACTATTTATCAAACCAATTAAAATATTTAAAATGTATACATTGACATCATGAAAAGCCATGCGAGTAGTCAATGCACCTGGAGATGCACAAAGGTTTCCAGCTCTATGGTCGGCAAGCCCGGCAAGCCGAAGAACAGCGGGACAGAAACAACGCACTGCTCACAAGTTGCACATCTTTGGCAATTTCTGTTAAGACCTTCGTTTCTTACCAAAAAACATAAATATGTTGGTACATGTTGCTTCATATTCTAATCTGCGACAAAACATCAAATATCATCAAATGGTGCATCGATATGAAAAAATGCCCCACATGGATGGAATATATATATATATATATATATCATATATACTGTATATATATTATATTATATTATATTGTACTATATTATATTATATTATATTATATTTTATTATATATATATATATATACATAACGGAATCCTCCAAGTGGAGTCTTTGCTCCATGGTCTGGTGCAAGACTTTGTCGACTTCAGGTTGGTTGACTGTCGACTTGGCGCTCCAAGGGTTCGTTATGGTTCGTTAATTCATGTTGGTTTGAAGATAATCCTACAGTGCTACAATGTGCTACAGGCTCTACTCACCAGTGGGCTTCCTTGATTCACTGATTGCTGCAAAGCTACGAAAGCTCGTTGCCTGTCCAAAAAGAAGGTCGTGCAAATGGGTCAAGGGATGTCAAGGTTTTCTTGGATGGGTGCGAGGATCAATTTCACTACAAACACAATGTACATTGCCCAAAGTTCTCCTTCCACTTAGGCACCATAATTACCGGTAATCCATGACAATCCGGATTTGAAGCAATTAGGCAATTGCCACACTCCCTTCCCTTCCCTAAGGCCGCGGCTGACGTTTTCTAGCTGCACTGCACAAACAGCCTTCCAGCCACGCAGCAAGCACTTCCAACAGCTTCAAAAAATCAATCAGTTTTGCCGAGGCGCAGCAAGATCGCAAGTGTCGCAGCCTCAGCAACAAACTGCTATATAAAGAATGCATAAGAATGCTAAAGATCTCTATATAAACATCCTGTTGCATTGCTAGATCTCTCACAAATCTCACAATGTGCATGTCATATCATGTCATGATATTGGATGATATTGGTGCATCTTCCCGTCCAGGCACGTCCGCATTGTGGTTTCCCATCCGCCACGCCACAACTGCCACAATAGCCCGGAGTTCCTCTTGTTGGTAGCTGTTGACCTACAGCCAGGAATTTCCGTGCGAAAACATTTCCATGACAAATTTGCCTTCCCATTGAAGATGTTTTAAGCGTTTTAACATAGCAATGAGCAAACAAGTGACGTCGTGCAGCAGTGCGACACAAATATGGAAGTTTGGGGCTGTAGAGCTGTGGGGCTGCGTGGATCTGTACGTCATGTCATGGTTGTAACATGATGTAACTGCAATTAACTGCATATATGATCATACGCATGAATGATCATTATAGGTGCGTTCATCATAATCAAACAATCGATCCAATCGAATCATATCATAAATAATAAAATATAATAATTAATCATTAATATACCATCAGAAATATATAGAAATATGCCCTCTCACTGGGCGCAGTACAGGAATCAGCTTTTTCTAAGGTGTTCCAGACAGTTCCAAACATGTGTCATGTTCCCAAGCCGGGTTGCTGCAGCACAATTGCTCAAAAGCTGCGTGAGCCAGTGGTTCCTAAGGTAATCCATGCGCAAACCAAGAATGGATCGAATCGATGTAGAGAACTCTAGAAGATTCTAGAAGTGTCAGCAATTCAAACTGGCCATTGCTGGCCTGAGGTTCTTATTTTTTTCCCAAAATGATCAACAAATCATTGCTGCCAAGGCAACGCGCCTCGCCCAAATATAAGAGCAATTGCGCACGACGACACACATGCCGATTACAACCTCACCAAAACTTGCGGATCAAAACTTTTTTTTGGAATTGTTTTGTACTAACGCACTTCACCTCAATTTGCAGACCCAGTGTTTGGCACTTCACCTGTATTTGCAGACCCAGTGTTTGGCGTTTGTTGTACCCACACCGTCTGCATCTATGTTTCTGGAAACCGAACTGTGTCCCACTGCTCGCATATTGTTGTGTAAACAATGGTACGGATATGTCGACGTCAAACACCACTGTAATCCCCTGTGGCCGTTCTTTGTCTGATAGGCATTCCGAGTTACAGTAGGAAAAGGATGCATGGCATCGCATCAAACTCCTGACCAGTCAATGCAAAAAGCAAAACCATAATATTTGCATAAAAAAGAAAATGATATTGCATGCATAAATTGCATAAATATCAAGTTTTTCAACCCATGCGACACTTGAGTCCCAAGGGTTGGTGAACGAAAGCTAAGCAGAAGATGAGAACCAGTAATGCCAGGCGAGATGCGAACTGGAACAGGTTGAGGTGGAATGAGAGAGGTGGAGTATGGTGGAGTTATATTTGATTTTCTGGAGTGACTTGGGTGGAAAGAGTTGGGTGATGGCGTGGGTTGGGTCGCTTGGGCTCCGTGGGTTCGGGGCAGGTGGAGGTAGGGGGATTGAGCCCCTGCTCAGCCGCTTCCAAGATGCAACGGGCGAGAAACCTAAGTTATGTAGTTTAGCATGTAATTGTGCGACTTATGTAGTAATACCATGTAATACCACTCTGTGGGCGGACGTTGTTTCTTACCCCAGGCACCCAGAAGTTACCCCATCCCAATGGCACACAGGGTTACCCCAGGCCAACCGGAAGTTACCCCAGTACAGACAATACACACCTCAAGCGGGTATTGATTCTAGACGGCAAGGAGAAAGTGTAGTCATGAGCGGATATGAGAACCCAAAGTTGGCTTGATGATTTGAATGAAATGGATGGATAAAAATTGTCTGTGTTTTTTTGGTGTCGGATGAACGCAACTGCCCCAAGACTGGCCCAAGACTGTGTGAGAACGAGATGAAAACCTGACGTAATGTATCGTAATGTTATGGAGCGTCCCGTGTTTATTGTCTCAATGGTTATCAGCTCGAGGTCTGCAATGGTTGTATAATCGAAGGAAGTTTAGAAGTCAAACTTCTGACAATATGGACAGATGAAAAGCAGAGCAGGGAAGAGGCAGAGAGAAGAGAAAGATTAGAAGAGAGAAGATCAGAAGAGAAAGAGTCAGAAGAAAGAAGATGCAGATGCGCGAAAAGGTAGGAAAGTCGCGAAACACTGTGTTTTTCCAATGATTTGTGGCTCCGGAGAGTCGAAAAGTAGGTTCGCTAAAGCGGCGGGTGCGGAGCCAGCTGGCCAGATGAGAGATGAAAAAGTGCACGCCGTTGTGGCGCGAAGCACGTTTCCAAGTCAAAATGCACAAAACACACCATGCTCGGACCACTTTTGGAAGTTGAGATGTCGAAAAAGTGCACGCCGTTGTGGCGCGAAGCACATTTCCAAGTCAAAATGTACAAAACACCAGGGGTTCGGACCACTTTTGGAAGTTGCGATGTCGAAAAAGTGCACGCCGTTGTGGCGCGAAGCACATTTCCAAGTCAAAATGTACAAAACACACCATTCTCGGACCACTTTTGGAAGTTGCGATGTCGAAAAAATGCACGCCGTTGTGGCGCGAAGCACATTTCCAAGTCAAAATGTACAAAACACACCATTCTCGGACCACTTTTGGAAGTTGCGATGTCGAAAAAGTGCACGCCGTTGTGGCGCGAAGCACATTTCCAAGTCAAAAGTGTAAAAAACTGACGGTCTCGGACGAGGTTCCGATGTGGAAAAAGTGCACGCCGTTGTGGCGCGAAGTACATTTCGAAGTCAAAATGTTAAAAACACTAGGGGTTTCGACCACTTTTGGAGGTTCAGATGTGCTTCCCTTCGCTTCGCTTAACTACACTACACTACATTACACTCCACTGCACTACATTACACTACACTACACTCCACAACACTACAACTACAACTACACAACTACACAACTACACTCCACTACACTCCACTACACTCCACTACACTAAATTACACTCCACTACACACCATTACACTAAATTACACTACACTACACTCCACTACACTACACTCCACTACATTAAATTACACTACACTTCACTACATTACACTACACTACACCACACCACATTACACTACACTACATTACACTTCACTACACTACACTACACTACACTCCACTCACACTACACTACAACTACAACTACACAACTACACTCCACTACACTCCACTACACTAAATTACACTGCACTACACTACATTCCACTACACTCCACTACACCACACTACATTGCACTACACTACATTACACTGAATGACACCGCACCACAGATAGACAGGTAGACAGATAGATAGATAGACAGATAGGCAGCTAGACAGCTAGACAGATGAAGGAGAGAGAGAGAGAGAGAGAGAGTGAGAGAGAGAGATAGAGACAGAGAAATAGATAGATAGATAGATAGATAGATAGATAAATAGGTAATTAGATGAAAGAGATAGAGAGAGATAGATAGATCGATAGATAGATAGATACATAGCTAGATAGATAGGTAGGTAGGTAGATAGTCAGAGAAAGAGTGAGAGAGATCAATCGTCTTTCGATCCATCAGTGGCTTCGCTCTGCCATCCCTGATTCACAACAACCAATCTCTCCTATAGGTTTCCTATTTTTGAAACTTCCGCCACCGCCTTGTGCGGTACTACTGGTAGATGCAATGTTTATGATGTTTTTTGATGGTTTCTTACTGAGGGGAAACCGAATGAAGACTAGAATCTAAGAATGATACGGGTTTTATGCAATTTTTGAGCCAGGTGTAGGGAATGAGCGGTTGTCGCAAGTGATTACTATATGGGGTCTTCTCTAAATTCGTTTCCCCGGATTCGGACGAAAATCACATTCATTGCGTATTTACAGGACTCCGCCTTTAAAACTCAATTGTCCCAACAGACCTCAAACATGAGTGAAAAAAAAAATATGAATCATTGATTCGCGTCAAAACTCTTGCAAACGTATAGTAGCGCGGCTCTTTTAGCTTGAGCTGCTGGAGCTACTGGAAACACCAATTATCACACCCTGCGAGGATCCTTTATTTGGTCTAACAACGCAGACTCCAGGGTCCGCATCCCAGTTGCTGCTACCAGCTGGAAGCAAACAGTGCTCTTGCGTTTTCAAATAAGGTGAGTTGACCAACGGGCAGCTGCGTTTTTTTGGGGCAGTTATCTAGCGCGAATATAGCGCGGATCTACCGCCAGAACTACGTTTAGCCTAGCCATTAAACCTTGAAAAACAAATGTTTCCGTTTTCACATATCTTTACAAGTCACGTTTGTGATGCTGGCAAAAAAAGAAGATGAAACGGTAATGCAGCTAAAAAAAATGTGACAAGTAAGGCTACTGAGGAGTTGCCCAAGCAGGACCGGAAACAACAGGTGCAAGAATCTGCAAGAAAACAAGGTGGAAAAAAAACATCGGGCCTGAGTGTGGTTCACTTGAGTGGCTATGTAAAAGTATCTAGCGCCACACTAATGCAAATCTAGCGCCAACTTGCAGGAAAGCGATTTCACTGCATATCACTGCGTATGTACATACAGGATTCCGCCTTGTAAATAACGCAATCTAAAACACATCACTGCCCAAATTTGTTACGGCCCTCGGATTTAAGAGTTCTAGGCTCATAGGCATTTTAGAGCGGATTCCCATATGGAGTATCATTGAAGAGCCCTGGGTTACTCCCAAAAAGGGTTACTCCTGAACTCTCAGGAAAATCAAAAAAACCTAAAAATACTAAAAAAAAACGTTTGTCAAATCTTGTAAAACTATCTTGCATCTGCTGCCAATTGTTTTTCAGCCTTGCTTCAGCTGTCCCACATTCACTCCTGATTGTATAGAATTAGATGGAATTAGTTGGAATGATAAAGATTTTTTGGGAATGTTCCAGGAGTGTCCCTGTAAAGTACGGAGTGTCCCTCTCCATAGACAAGACTATGCCTAGGTGCTTAAGTATATGCTTTATGCGCATGAAACGCGATAATTAACTATGTTTTTTAAATGATGGGATGATATGGGATGCGTATATAACTGTGTGAAGTAGGCCGAGGGGTATTGGCCAACGCGGCTTAGCAATTGTACGCGGTTTGATTCGTGCCATCTGTTATGTAGTTGTCTAGCTTAAGCCTGCGTGGTATTGGTTTTTCCGCCGACCCCAGCCGACGGCAGCGGGAGCGCCTCAGCGAAAAGATTACAAGCAGCAAGGTTCGATAGAAGCTTGCAGCAAGAACAGAACGCAACAGGCAAGAGACAAAAAGCAGGCAACAAGAAGCAAAGGGCAAAAAGAAAGGTGCAAAACGGGGCCATGGGAACAAGGGGCAAGAAGCAAGAGGCAAGAACGAGAGCAAGAACAAGAAACGG